TGTCATCAGCGAATTTAAACAGGTTACTTTCCACCCCACGTGCGCCCACGTGCACTCCCTATGTGTTGCCACTGCACTCTGCCCCTGCCTACACACCCACACACTCTGCCCCTGCCTATGCATGCGCACACCCCCCCATACCAGCAGGGTCCCGTGCTCCTGGGTCCAGCCATGCAGCCTGGACCCACATGCTGGAGCAGGGCAGGAGCAGGAATCAGGGAAATGGATGGGGGTGGACGGGGCTGGATCCGGTGCAGCTGGCTTCCCCAGGGTCCTATAGCTCCTGACTCCTGTCGTCTTTGACAGGCAGCCAAGAGGAGATAAATATTTTCTAAATTTTTTAGGGGCCCCACGGGCCAGATAGGATGGCCTGGTGGGCTAGATTCAGCTTGTGCACCGTATTTTGCCTGCCCTTGCTATAGATGGCCTCTTCCAAAGGCAGGTGCCCCTATATGTACCACCGTGCTTTGCAGTAGAGGGGCCCAGGACCCATGACTCCCCTTTGAACCCAGGGGGTTATAGCAGCACCTGCCCAGTCCTGCCATCAGTCTCCCACTCCCAAAGCACAGTGCACAGGCAGAGCGGTGTTACCACGGACACCCTGATTGCATCAGATCTAGGTCACTCACGCCAGATACCGGCTGCTCTGTCGATGCAAAGCCAGAGGTACCCCCCATATGCTCAGGCCAGCCGGGGAGGTGGCAAGATCCCCCCAACCTTCTCTGGCTTCTGGGTCCTGCGGCTTGTCCCCTAGAGAGCTGGGGGCCTTGAAAGGCCTCCCCAGCAGGGCCACACTTTCTCCTGAGGCTTCATGGCAGAGAGAGGAGCTGCCTCCTCCTCCTGGATTTGCCCTCGACTAGATTTTACCTTGTCTCGCCTGGGGACAGACTAACCACTGACCTGGAGCAGGTGCAGTGGCAGGCGTATGTTCCCCAGAGGGCCATGGTCCGCTGGTCTTATCCCACTTCTGGCCAAGCTTCTTCCTGCTTCTGGCATCCACCCACCCCATTGTCCAGTCACCACCTCCTGCCCAGATCTTGGCAGACAGCCTCCACCTCTCCCAGCCTCCCCCTCATCCTCTCCCTTATTTGATCATTTCCTGGAGCACCACCAGCTCTGCACATGCAACATGCACGTCCCAGCCTGCTTCCCCAGGCACCTGCAACCCCGGGCGCCGCTCCCACGTCCTACCCATGCTCTGCTTCAAGTAATGCACAGGAGCGTACGGGAGCCTGATATGGCCACCACATTTTTTGTCACAGCACTGCTGCACTGCAGAGGGTCCGTGGACCCAGTCTGCACAGAAGACCTGACCTGGCCTTTCAGCCACAGCCAAAGGCAACAGCAGGGTGACAGGACATATGAAGGCCTCTTACCTGGGCTCTTTCTCCTATCCCGCCAAACACCTGGAAGCAAAATGTACATGTTAGGACACAGCTCCACTCCACTCCAGACGGGGCTGGGGTGGTGCTGGAGAATTCAGAGCCAGGGGAGAAAGGCACAGGCAAGACCCTAAGGCCGTGTTGCCAGGAGGATGTGACTGCACACTGCTGCCACGAATAAGGAAATCCACTCCCTGGAGCTCTGCGGTCTGTCAGGGGAGGCTCTAGCCAACAGGGAAGACAGAGCATCACACTTCATCAGAATCACGTCTTCCCTCTTCTCCCTCCCTCCTCTTGGGGCTGCTCAGAGCACCCGTGTCCGACACTGCAGCGAAGCAGCCACTGCTAGCTCTTTTCCCCACCATTGCCTGTGTGCCAGCAGGCTTCCCACCATGCACACAGAGGAACTTTGACCCACCCACCTCACAGCAAGGGCTTTCTTACCTGGTGTTTGCCTGAGGCCTCATCCTCTTGGCAATCAAGTGTAAGACATGCACCTCCTGTCAGCTCTTTGGATAGTCCAGGCTCTCCGCAAGTATCTCTCAACAAAACGGAGTCTGCTCTTTCCTCGTCTGAGTGCTGCTATGCACAGGATCTTCCCTTCCAGTCTTCCCATGGAAAGGGAAGATGTTTCCATGGGCTATCAACCCCATGTGGATAATATGCCTTCCAGGGAAGATGGGCTGAGGACAGCGAGGGTCCTGTGCACAGCTGGGGAAATTGGCTGCAGCACCTGGCATGGCACCCACCCTTGGACCTGCCATCTCACCATAGCGATGACATGGTGTGTGCCCAGGGACCGGTCCATCACCCACCTGCTGCCCGCCAGCTGCCTTCCACCTAGCTCAAGACCTTCCATCTGTGATTACCGTAAGGGGTTGTCCTGCCTTGGACACTTGGCCCCCTGGGACATGGTCAGGAGCAGTGGCAGATTTTCCATGGGGCCCTGCCTGCTTTACCAGGACTTCTCGTGGCATGAAAGGGGAGCCCCTGCACTTACACTTGGCCCAGTCTTGCCCACAGTGACCTCATTTTCCAAACACCCCAGCCTCCCCTCAGCCTCCTGCTGGGGCTGAATTTTTATTTATTCTTTGCACCATAGAGACCCACTGACACCCCCCACTCAGATGCCCCCGCCTCACTGACACTGGCCAGGGCTCAGGACAACTCGTCATTGACTAAGAAATGTCTTTGTCTGGGGGCAGACGATGGAGGAGAGGACAAAAAAAAACCACTGAGTATGAGTGCAAAAAATAAATATAAAATTTATTAAAACACCCACAATATTTTAAAGATATCAGGAATAATACATTTCACAAACCAGCTGGTTGTGTGTAACTTATAATAAAATACAAAAAAAAAAAAAAAGGAGGATCCATACTTGCGATTTTTTAGGTGTCCTAAAAAATAAATTTACCGAAACACTGGAGGAAAAACAGGGTAAGAAAAAATACAAACAAAAAGGGGCAAATTATACAAAATAAAATTATCGGCATAAATTTACTGTACTAGTCATATCTACAGTTTAATACACATTAATCCTATTGCCTTGAGACATTGTTAAATCTACCGTTGGTCAATCACCCCCAGATAAAACTTCATTTCAAGTAGCCACAGTCACGAGTCGACAAAGAAATCTTCAAGTGTGATTCACAAGATCGCCTCCATTGGAGGCCTGGTTACCGCACGTGAGTTCAAAGAGACAAGAAATCAAATGCGTCGAGAAGTTACGGCATTGAGATCAACTGAACTGAAGTAGCCTCTCACCATCCAACCTGCATTCCTTGTTTTGCTCCAACTAGAAAGGCGTTAAAAAGAAGACAGCGGCAGCCTACCCACACCAAACCTGCTTTCCTCTTAGCGAACTAAAAGCGTGAAAACCAAGGACTCAATGGTAAAATGGGTCCGAAGCATGAATGGCAGCAAGTAATCCCTGAACGATGGATGCTAACGCGAGGAAGAGACAGAAAGGAAAACCACGACAAAAGGATCCCTGATATTGGACCAGAAGCATGATGTCAGCTTGCTCTGCTATTCTAGGGCAAAAAAAAAAGGGACAGGCCTCAACTGTGCAGGTGGCTGTATGCCGGCTACAGTCCTGATGGGATCAATACTCCTTCTCAGTTCTGGAGCAGACCCGAGTGTCATCAAGACCCAGGTGGCTGGTGTTTAGCAGGCCTCTCCTCCTCATCAGGAAGGCAAGGTCAGTTCCCATCAGTTCTCTCTGTCACTGACTCCTGCAAACTACAGGCCGGATCCTAACTTGGCACTATTCAGCTCACGCCCACGGGGCTACATGGATTGCTGTGACTGATAAACAGGCATGGCTGCTTCAACTATTGTTCAGGCAACCCTTCCGCTACAGTGGATGGGACCCCGCCAGAGAAGGGTAAGAGAAGCATCAGGCTCCCGTCTCCAGGAGCATCTGTTCTCCGGGGCCCATGACCATAACCATAACCAAATGGGCCGTTGTGTACTAGCAGAGGATCCGGCCTGCAGCATTCAGGCACGTGCTTTGAGGAGTTGCATCCTGTTCCCCAGAGCCCCTGCAAAATGCGAGCAAGCAGCAACCTATGGACAGAGCTAGAAAGACCAACACAGTTCTGCAAGGGGAAGCCCAGCATCAGCTTTCCCAGACGCACCCCCTGGCTCTTTCCTCTCCTCCTTAAGACACATTCAGTTACCTTGCCCAGACTGCTCGACTGCCAGGCTGTTCCACTGCTTTCCTGTCTGTGAGGTATTTTCCTGCTGGGTTAGGATAACAACAAGTGCATGCGACAAACCTCTGGTTTCTGTACAGTTTAGACCGTCCAATCACATGAGCTGACAGAAGAGGGGTGAAAAAAATAGCACCAAAACACTCAAACGAAACATACATGTGGAACGCTTTGTGGAAGGTTTCCAGCGGCCCAGAGGGAGATGCAGAGTCACGATCAACAGGGGGCCAAAGGGGCTTTCCCGAAAGGAAGCAGCAGGGGGACATCAGGGGAAGGGATCTATCCTGCACAATGCTCACACAGCGTCTGCCCACGTCACTGGCTGACCAGCTCACACCAAGTGTTGGGGCAAAGACCCAAAGTGAACAGAGAGTGACAAAGAGACTCCTACGGAGTCCCCCCAGACTCAGCATCCAGCCCTGGGTGCTGGTTGGCAGCAAGAGTCTCCTTCAATTGAAACCCCTGGGCTACCTCTGTCTCAGTCATGGAGATCACCTCAAATTGAGACTGATGTCACCAAAAGCAGATGGGCCTGTGGAGAGGCTTGACCGGGTGAGGCAGAGTGGGAGGAGGGCTCTGGCCAACTCTTTACTATTGGTATGAAAGCAAAGTGAGATGGGGAAGGAAAAGAAAGGCTACATTTGAATTCAGAATAAAGACCCCAAAGCCTAAGAGAAGCTTCCCCTCTTCTCTCCCCCTCAGCAGAGATGCAACATCTTGCTCTCCCGCAGGGGGGACAGTTGTGCCCCTGCCTGGCTCAGATGACTGCAAAGTGTGGATTCAGCACCAGTGTTCTGTTTGCATAAGGGCTGGAGAGTTGTGGCGCCCGGCCCACCCTCGTGGGGACTGTGATAGCCTGGACCACATAGTGCATCATTTTCACCAGTGGGCAATGCAGCCACAGGAAAGAGCCCTTCCCATCCTTGTTGCCAGCAGGATTTCTCCCTTAATCTACCGCCTGCCTGATAAAAAAACAAACCTGACAACAGCAGCACCAAGAACTATCCTAGCACTGCATCTCCAGGCCCAGGAGCCTCTCGCACTGGCTGAAGATCTGAGCCTAGACCTCAACGTCACTTCTCGCTGCAGCTGGCAGAAACCCTGACTGCACATCAGATCCAGGGCAGGGATTCTAGATGTCACCCAAGACCACGACATGTAAGCCTCGGCTTGGGCTTTTCCCCTCGGTAGCACCTCGGCAAGATGGGATCAGGCAAAACATGATAGTTTATTAAAACACCATAGCACCGTTTTATTAGAAGATTTCATGTAAGAAAAAATATGCCTTAGGTTGCCCACAAAGCACCCTCCAGTAAGAAAAGGACAAGAGTCATTAGTTGAGGCACCTCGGGCATCGTTTTTCACTCCTAGATTGGCCTTGTTATCGGATGCAGCTGGGGGGGGGGGACTTCCACGGGAAACCAGAGGCCCGCCAGAAATCGTCTCAGCCGCCGCAGGAGCAGGCAATGGCTTCCTCCCTACAAAGCACCAGGGGCGACATCCCTCCATGCAGAAGCCCACAAAAAGCCACGGCACCACTTTGGGCTTCTGGGATTACAGTGGTGGACATGTCCCCTTGCACCAGGGTGACCTGCTCTGGCCAGCATCTGACACGTATCGGCTACAGCTGATGGGCCCAAGCATGGCATCCTGTTTTTGGTGTGCCAGGCCTGTATTCGGGGACACACACATCGCTGATGGTACCCGTGGGGGTGCGAGAGCTCCAGCTGCTCTAAGCAGCAGACATTAAGCACCGGTTGGGAGAGCTCAACTCTCCCCCCGGCTGCGTCTTGGGAACAAGGCAAAGCGTGACAGAAAAAGAGACCAACGGCCTGAAAGCGACCATTAAAACAACCTGCGTGGGCCCAAGACCTCCTCCTGCGGACGTCAGCGTGTGACACGGACAGGAGGAAGGTCACGCCCTTTGTCAAGATTTCCCCAGGGTTATAGACTTGTTTGTGGTTCTAGCACCATGGATCGGTTATACCTGCTGCAAACGTTGCACCGAAAATAAATAGAAGTCCTGTTGCCTTCTTGGAAGTGCGCCCCCTCACCCGGATTCCCAGTTACCAACCAAGTGACGCATGACAGGGCAGCCGGGCTGTGTTCAGCTCTGGCCTCCAAGATCCACCCCCAGACTCGGGCCCTGCTTCGCCAAACGACGTGTGCTTAGCTAGGCACGGACTGAGCTGGCTCCTTGGCCTGCGATAACAGGAGCCACAAGCCTGACCCTCCTCTTGGCCGGAAGTCCACGGAAGACCAGAGGCCAAGTCCTCGGTAGGTGTCTGCTGACATGACCCTGTTGCCCACTTCATGCTGGCTCAGGACTGGCCCACGTGGAATCGCTCAGGGAAAATCCAAGCAGAATCTGGCCAGGCAATTCAAATGGCTCTGGCTTTGCCCCGGCCTGGTCTCGGCAACCTAGCGGGCATAATAAATGCAGTGGCCAACTGGAGAACAGGGGTAAATGTTGGGGTTGTGACGCCAACTCAAGCCTAGGGATGCACCAGAGGATTATGCTTGGTAACCTCACACCCTGGCTCTAAGCCCACGTCTGCCCCTGGGGTCAAATCGTCTTGGAACTTGGGGTCTTTTAATGCTTGGATCCCAATGGCTTTTTCATGGTTAGAAGCGGCCACGGTGGCCACAGCATGGGGGACACGGGACAGCGCAGATCAAATGCAAGACAAAGAGTTTGTTTTCAACAGACTCTGAGCAGCAAGGGGTAAAGAGCTGTGCATAGTTTTCATCCTGTTACTACAAGTCTGAAGCATGCTAATTTTTGAATGACTGCGATTTGAGGTAGGTTACAGATGTAGTGTACAAAACACCATGAGACTGCGACGGGGCTCATTCTCAGGACAAATCTCATTTCAACTGGGATGGTGGGACCTGGTAAGGTTTCTTTTTGCTTGCAACAGCCTGATCTGGAGTCTGTGGGAGACTGGGGAGGCCGAGCCGGGCTCTACTCTCGCTCCTTCCGCCCTTCTACAGAGGGGGAATCTGCTCTGGATTCAGATCTCCTTCTGTAGCACCGTGACCCCGCTTCTCCCTTGACTCCTAATGCAGGGCTTCCACGCCTGGACAACCAGAATGATGGAGCCAGCAGAGGATCCGGTCCCACAGCGGGATCCAGAGGCCAACCTCAGTGCCCCCCAGGTAAATCCAGAGTGAATTCTGCTGCCTCCAGTGAAATCATCCTGGATCTCCAGGGGGGCACCTGAGACCAGACTGCAACCCGCTTCTCCCCTTCCACTGACTAATGTCCTTGCTGTTGCCAATGAGCAGATGAAGGCCAAGCATGGGAATATTCACAACGCATCTTGGGCACATGTGGGCTGCTCAACATGTTCCTACACAGGAACCTACAAAGAAGCAGGACTCGGACAGGATTCACAGAGCATCACATTCTTCAACTACACGCCATTCCCTCTCCCCCACCCACAGTCCAGTTTTTTGTCCTCTAAAGTCATCTACGCAAAGCTTTCAAGGCACCTCTGCAACAACCTAAGACGCGGTCGTCAGACGAAACACAGAGATGTGCGGAGGCTACGACGAGCCATGCTGGCAAACCAAAGAAAAAGAGCCATTTGTGAGAAATTCAGGTCCAACATTTCCTCAAAGCTATAAAAATTAGCATGCTCACTACAGGCTGGATCCGGCACCTGTCAGAGTCGCCGACAAAGCTCCCGCCCACCCTGATGGCACCCGACGGGACCCCCGACACCGAGAGCCGGATCCGCGGCTGGCATAAACCGGCGGCACCTCGGGCGACGACCCTGGCCGGTTTATACGACCCAACATCCGCTCCCTGAGTGCTTGGGTTTGCTCCAACGGCGAAGTTCAGAGACTTTCCTATAACTCTGACTTGGAATTACTCTATGATCCTGATATGCTATTGGGTATTTATAAGAAAGCGATAATAGCTCATCGATTTTCCTTGTCAAATATATGCATCTTTACAGGATACAGTAAAAAAACCAAAACAAAAAAAAAAACCATAATCATGAGGGACGGACAAAGCCTGTTAAATATTTTGCCACTATTTACAGTTCTCCCACAATAATCTGTTTAAAACATACTGCTTTCAAGTTGTTGGGTTTTTTTTTCCTTTTTTTTTTTAAATCTAGGTGAAAGTGCTTTTAAAAAATTCTTTCACTATTTACAGTTTAAAATCAGACCACGTGAACGTTCAGGATGTTTTACAGAGATCCTGTTATTCTGTGCCAGTGCGCGAGAAACAAGGTTTACAGTAAACAAAATGTTATGCACGGTTACATGTTCAGCTCTCTCTCTCTCTCTCTCTCTCTCTCTCTTTCTCTTCCTCTCTCTCTCTCTCTCTCTCTCTCCAAAAGGCACCTGAGAGTGCAGGATTATGACTGAGTCTTGTTGTCCAGTTGCGCATCTCTTCTGACCCACTGGCCCTCCCACCGCCCAGGAACAGCCGCAGAGATCTCGGGACCACGCATATGAAGAACCGGGCATCTGCTTCCACGATCTGGGCCCAAGGGAACGGCAGCGACGGGGCTCCATCCCGCTCCCGCCGAGGTCAGTGCTGCCAGCGACTTCTGGGAGGGGGGCGGGGGGGGGCAGATAGCACCTGTGAGGCCTGAGGGACGTCATTGTTTCTCTCCAGGCTCCGCTTCCCTGCAGAATGAAATCCACCCACATGCAGAGACCACACTGGGGACCTCCGCTGGCATGCATCCCGGAAGCTCCTGTGAAATCACAGGGCGGATTCATGCCGTAGAGGTACCGACCTGCCCAAGCCCCATCGCTTCCCATTGGAGCAGGTCCCCTCGGCACCTCTAAGGACCTGGGTCCGGGAGGCCAGCAATGCCCAGCCACTGGGCAGGGTCCCTGCACGGGATGATTTTCACCCTGCATCTCTGGGGGCCACTTCCATGGGATTCCCGCTCTCACCACAGGCATCCCAGCCTCTCTGAGCCAACTCGGCTCTAGCCCGAGGGAATGACCTCTCCACCCAGCCTCACTCAATAGCCAGTTTCGAATTCAAAGCCGTTCCCCACCCCGCCCCCGACAGTTCCACCTGCTGGAGGGAGCTGAAGGAAGCCAGAGTCACGGTTCAGGTTGTTAGAAAAGCACCACGCGTGTTGCCGTCGTCATCGTGACGATCGCGATTAAAAAAATGGCACCAGAAAAAAAGGACCGCTGCGCCGAGAAGCACCGCTGATGCCGGTCGCTGCATGGGAAGGCGTCGACGCGCCACGGGGCTGCCCTCGGGAGGCGGCCATATGCACCATGGAAGGCCGCAGGCTGAAGGCGGCTGTGTGCTCTTCCCTCCTCCCAAAATGTCCCCGAGAAACCAAAAGCACCAGATGCAGCGACAGCGCCAGCCACAGAGCAACGCACACGATTCACAGTCTCTCCTGGGTTCTTCACGAGACAGGAGCCCCCTCCTTATCTCGGCCCTCGCTGGCTGCCACCGACCACGGGAGGGTTGGTTCCCAAAGTCACGTGGGAACAGGCTCCCAACATCATAGGCGTGAGAACCCCATGGTCCTCTCCAGCGCTTGTGAGCCAGCGGCAGGTCCCCAAAACGCCAGTCGACCCCTCGGCGTGAAGACGACCTGGCCTGGATCATTTGGTCTTGCTTTCAACCTGGGTTAGAATGTATTCAAGTAAAAGAATCTCTCGTGAGCTGAGGCCGGGTCTTCTTCTGATTTCACTTACATCGCTGCGATGGCCCTAGGCCTGATTGTCCTTTCCTCCCCACCCTGGGGTGAAATTCGCACCCCCAGCGGAGGGTCACGCTTCTGGGCTGGTGCAGGGGCGAATCATACCGAGCTGGCTGTCCCCTGGCTCGAGAATCTGGCCCTATCCCCATATGCAGGAGCTCCATGCGAGCCATGACTGGAACACGCCTCTGTTAGGCATGGCACGTGTGAAGCCCCAGCATTTGCGTCCAAGGGGGAAGCCGTTACCGGGCCAGGAAGGGGTCTCCGTGTGCCTCTCAGCCTTGCCTCTGCCCCAAAGGGTCTTGGCATCCACAAGAAAGAGAACTCGGCGGTGGGGTTCCCGCTGGACACTGTGACACGCTTTTCTGGGTGGCCTCCAAGCTGAGATTCCCGGCAGCCTTACCGTGAGCGAACTGTTCACAGGGCTTGTTTTGTTTTTCTGTTGTGGTTTCTTCAAGCTGGTTCATTATTTTCTGGGTCATTTTTGCGTTTGCTTTATTTCTGACGAGCGGCTTCACGGTTGTCTTAAAAAAAAAATCCAATAAATACATTATCTTAAATGGAATTAAAAACCTCTCCTTTGTGAAAGGACACTATAAACTTCTCTTTCCATTCTTGTGATGTACAAGGATAGATTAAAAAAACGCAGATATAAATAGTAGGTTACTGAAAAAGGTGAACAGCAACATCTCTTGCTTGCTCTTTTTTTTCTTGTTAGCTCCTCTCAAAGTGCAGCTTGTCGAAAGGGTTGCACTTGAGCTGATTTCTGTTTGTTCCCCCCCTCTCACATGCACAAGGGGAAAGCACCACAAAGCGGCGCCGTCTTCTGGCGCCGCTGACGTTGAGGTAAGATGGCCATGTGAGCTGTACTCCTTTCATATCCAGCGACTGTATGGTCCAGTTACCTTCGTATAGGCATAGGAGGACACAGTGATAGCAGAGTTTGTCGGGATGGCCACCGCCTGCCGAGTGGGGATGTAGTCTTTCTTCTCCTTGTGTTGGGGCTCCATGGCCGGGGAGCCCCCCCACTTGCGCTTCTTCCCGAAGGGCTTGGCTTCCTGCTGCAGCCCAAGGCGGGCTGCCTCCTCCTGCCTCGCCCGCGCCCGCTCCGCCAGCTGCTTCATCTTGGCTTCCCACAGGGCCAGGCCGTGGTTAGGCTGGTTCAGGTTCTTGTGTTGGTAGAACACGAGGGAGATGCGCGTTGGGTGGCACCGGTTGGGCTTCTTTAGCGGTGTGGTGGCATGCAGCTCCCGCCGCGCGCACTCAATCAGGATGGAGCCGTGGGCTGGCGCCACTGCCACACCCCCAATGTTCTCGTCCAGGAAGTTGTGTTCGCTGTCCGACCACTCCTCCTCCTCCTCCTCCGCCTCCTCCTCCTCCTCCTTGATGCTCTTCTCCTGCAGCTCCTCCATGCTATCGTCCAGGCTGAAGGGGTCCCATGGCTTCTCCTGGCCACCCAGGCCAGGCACATGCGTGCCGGCCTCAGCCTTCAGGGCCTCCAGCGGCTTCTCTAGGCAAGAGCCCAGGGCCCCATGGGCCGGCGAGCCAAAGGGCTCCCACAGCTTCTCATGCAGCCCCACGCTGGGTGTAGGTGTCCGTCGCTCCTCCCCTTTGGCCCCGGGCCATGCCTCATCTGGAAACCCGGCACTGCCTTTGAGGGCGGCACTGAAGCCCAGTTGCCCGAGGGCCCAGGGCTTCTCCGGCAGAGCCGCAGCCCCCAAGCCCAGACTGCTCTCGTTGGCTTTGCAAGGACTCCACGCTTTCCCCGCTGGGCCAGGGCCGGGCTGAGTGGCAGGTCCGTCGCTCGAGAACAAGCTCCATGGCTTCTCAGGGATGGGCGTGGTGGGTGGCCTGGCTGCATTGGCGTGGGGGCCGAAGGGCGAGCTCAGCTTGTCGTGTGTGCCCACACCAGGTAAGGAGGGGCCGTCGCCAGGTGGATACATGCTCCACAAGCCCTCTGCGTTACTAGTCCTGTCAGAAGGAGACCCATTTCTGCGGGCCGGGTAGGGGCTCCACTGCCGGTCCGGCACGCCATTCTGTGACGACAGGGGGACCCCTGACAAGCTCAGGCCAGGACTTTGCACAGACTCCAGATGGGAGAGGGAGTCCGCAGGTTCTTGCTTGATTGCCCGGCTGTTGAAGCAGGTGGCACTGGGGGCAAATGGTGGGGCTTCCTCTGCCACCGAGTGGGTCCGGTGGGGCGCTGTCACCGCCTTCTGGGAGGTGTAGCGGTTGGCTCGCTCGTACGTCCGCTGGTGGTGGCTCTTACTGCGCACAACGTGAGGCATGGGCTCAGGGAAGTCTGCACTCCGGTACGCGTGGCTCAGGTTCTCCGGCAGCGCCTGGACGTCGGGTTTCTTGTCGTAGCTGCCGCCCACCCAGGTGCTGGCCTGCTCAGCAGAACCGTAGCCAAGGAACTGTGAGGGGAACATGGGGCTGCTGGAGAAGCCGTAGTACCTGAAGGAGGGGAGTGTGAACTTGGAATGGAACCCGTTCATGGAAGGCAGATTTGGCTGTGCATAGTAAGAATGGTAGGAGTAAACACTGTTCATGCTGTACGGGTCCGAGGGCCGGCAGCTCCCCAGCACCGAGTAGCTCTCCACCACCGCGTTGCCGTTGTACTTGAAGGTGTTGTAATGTGGCTGTGGATCCACTTGCAGGGAAGGTCTGATTGGCTGCTGGGGGAGACCGCTCTTCAGTGCTAGACCTGTGGGCACAGGACAGAGTGAGGAGGTGAGTGGCCGGGGCCTGACAGGGTTCAACAGGGTTGACAAGGAGGTTAGATTCCAGATTGGGTGGGATGGTTTGGAGAAGGCTGATCCTGCCTCAGGCAGGGGCCTGGACTAAATGACCTCTGGAGTTCCTTCCAAACCCACTTCTCTAGGATTTCCATAACTGCAGCAGCCAACCCTGGCATCCTGCATCACCTACCTGTGAAGTACCTGAATTACCACTTTGCATGGGGACAGTCATGGCGAATCTGAGTTACTTGCCAGTCAGGACACATGGGCAAAGGGCTGTCCTGCACTTGTTTTAACACAAGTCAGCTGGATCAAACCCAATGCCTGGTGTTAGCCGGAGTCTCAGGGATCGATACAGCTACGAATGAGCTGACAGACATGGGCTGAGGACATGACGCAGTGTCACAACAGCTGAGCAGATGTGTGCTGGGGCGGGCAGGGGGAGGACAGGTGGTCTTTACATCAGCCTCCTCGATACAGGACAGAGTCCTGAGAAGCAACACCATCTCAGGCACTTACCAGGGCCAGACCTTCACCTGGATCACCCACAGATGATCACAGGATGAGCTGCTTCTGAGACAGCAGCTTGCACAGCCACCCCCCACCTTCCCAAACAGTGCTGGGCCTGCTCAATGCCACTGGAAGGGCAGCGCGGTCTGAGGGTGACAGAAGAACTGCATGAAAGAGAAGGAGAGAAGGGAAGACAAGGCTCAAGGGCCTGATGGAATCTGCCTGCCACTGAGAATACTTCCAACACGTGCCACATGGGACCCAGGAGCTTAGCTGAGGAGCAAACATGGTCACATGCTACCAAGGCACCGCACTCTGAGAGACACCAATGCAACCGCACACTGTCCATGGCCCTGGCAGGCAGAGCCAGGGGAGCTGACTGACCCACATTATGGCACTGTGGGTGGGAGGCGCACAGGCAGGCTCACAGCCAGCCCTGCCACCAGCTGCCAGGGCCCTTACCTGCGTTCTGCTGGAGCACCGGGAGCTCAAGCACTTCCTGCTTGATCTTCTCAGGCGTGATCAGCTTCTCCTTCTGCAGCTTCTTCTTCTCTGCTGCCGCCTTCTTGGCTTCCAGCTGCCGTTGCCGGCAGGACTTGGCGGGCTCAGGCAGCTTGCGCACCTCGCGGGGGAAGGAAGTGAGAACCTGGATGGCGCCACTGCCCACCTTGGCGATCTGGTTCTCCTCACTGCCAAACTCATCTGTGGTGGACATCTTGTACAGCGGAAGCACGTGCAGCTGCTCATCCTCGGGGATCTTCCCGACGATGCGATTGTCTTCCTTTGTTAGGGTGCACACCTGCGGCCGAGGGGAGAGGTAGGGAGGGCGAGAGGCAAGAGTCATCCATCAGCTGGTAAGCCCTGGGAAGAGTGGGAACAAGGACACCCTACAAGCATCGCTGGCTGCACACTCCGTGTGAAATCACTGGCACACAGGCACATGGGAAAAGCTAGACAGGCCATCCAGACCCTCATTCCCCTCACTAGCTGCTTCCATCCAGGCAGCTCAAGGCCCCTAGACGGTCTAGATCCAGGCATGGTTCAACCCCACTGCTGGAACACAGCCAGCTCCAGGATGGAACAAGGCTGCCCTTGATCACATGGTACCAATGTGGCCCCAGAGATGGGCTGCAAGGGTTCATGGAAGAGGAGGGAAGAGATGCTCTGGTCCCACACCTGTCTCAAGTGTCTGGGCCTGCCCCTGCAGTAATGGAATTGGTGCTTTGGCCCCACCCGACTCGCTGACTCTGAGCGAACAGGAGCCAGCAGCAAGTCAGAGGTGACTCCCAGGAAAGCCAGGGGAGGTAAGTCAGGACATAAGCATTGCTCAGATCCTAGGTCCATCTAGCCCAGTCTCCTGAAGCACACAGTGGCAGAGAGCAGAAGCTGAAAGGGAGAGTGAGCTGGGTCTGACCAGGGATTTTCCCCTTGTTCTGCTCTCACTTGCAGCCTCCAGCACTTCAAGTCCAGGAATTTCTGATTCCTAGGCCATGCCCCTCACTCCCATGCTCCATAGCTACCCATGCCCCTTTCCTCCAAGAATGTGTCTGGTCCCTCGTGAGTCTGGCTAAACAGACAGCTTCCACAGAACTGCCTTGTGTTCGTTTTAAACTTATTACCTGCTAGTTTTATTTTGTGACCTTTAGTTGTTGTATGGGGAGAGACAGTCCCTAGTGACTTTCTTTTCACCATTTAGGATTGTGTAAACCCTTCTCATGTCCCCACTTCAAATGTCTCTCTTTTAAACTGAACGGACCTGGTCTCTTTAGTCTCTCCTCATCTGGAAGCCCCTCCACGACACTCATTATCCTTGCGGCCCTTCTCTAGTTCTTCTATCTCCTTTTGGAGGTGTGGGAACCAGAACTGGGCACAGCAGTCAAGGTGTGGATGCACCAGGGATTTATAAAGGGGCATCATGATACTTTCAGGCCTGCCTATGGCCTGTACCGCACTGTACCTCCTCGCCGGAGGAATTCTCTCCACCACTTCCCCACCTCCAGCTGGTTCAATCTTACAACAGATGCTATGTCTTCTACCGGGTATTGGACAGCACAGAGAGGCTGGGATGAGGAAACCCAGCAGGCCACCTCTCAGCTACCTGAGCTGTCACAGAGCCCTGGAAAGATCATGGTCATTTATTCCTTAGAAAGGGAACATCTGGAATAAGCATGGGCTTTCCTTATCCTCCCTTCTAGAAGATGGCTGCTAAATTTGCTCCTCTCCATGGGACAGAAGGGGTCTAACCCAGTAGCCAGTATCTCACAGGGACACAGAGCAGATGGTAAGGGAAAGAGTATTTAAGCAGGGCCTATTCAGACTAACACATCTTCCACTCCCTGCATCAGCGGAGCTCTGCTGGCTTTAATGCAGAAGTGACCAAGCTTCTGCCCCCCTGCATGCTTGGCCAGCAGGCTAGATCCCCAGGGGGCAGGTGCATGGGGTTGGTCTCCAGATGAGACCCCCTATGCCAACCCAACCCTGTGTGCCTGGATCTCACCACAAAACAGGCCTGATCTAGCACACATGGTCACATATCCAGTCCACGGGTCTGTACGTTGAAGTCAGGGGGGCAGCAATTAATGCTGCTGCTGCTCACCCAGTGCTGAATCTCCAGATGCATGGGAAGCCCTGCAGGCTGGATGACATGACTCCTTGGGCAGAATCTGGCCTGCAAGCTGGAGTCTGAGCAGCCCTGCTTCATGATTAGTAGCCTCCGTGAAAGAAACCTACGAGGGGAGGTTGAGAGATCTGGATCTCTTCAGCCTTCACAAGAAACAGCTGAAGGGATACCTTGTAGCTGCCTATAAGTGTATCAAGGGAGGACTACAGGGAATTGGTGATGCACTATTTACCAGAGCGCCCCAGGGAGTAACTAGGAATAATGGGTGCAAACTAGTGGAGAGTAGATTTAGGTTAGACATTAGGAAGAAATGTTTTACAGTAAGGGTGGCCAGAATCTGGAATGAGCTTCAGAGAGAGGTAGTACTATCACCTAACTTGGAGGTTTCAAGAGGAGGCTTGATAGTCACCTGCCTGGGGTCGTCTGACCTCGGTCCTCTTTCCTGCCGGGGGCAGGGGGTTGGACATGATGATCCATTGTGGTCCCTTCCGACTCTACAGTCTATGAATTTATGAATGGATCTTGGCCAATTGTCACCACTGGCAGATATGGCCCATGGACTCTTTAAAGGCAAGTCAAAGCCACAGTCGGTGCCTCAGTCTGCCTCATGATCCAACTTGGCCTCCTGCCTATCAGTTGCCTGCCCAGCCTAGGTCAGTACAGATTACAGATGTCATGTAGGTGCTGGTGATGGAGGTTTGAGGGGTCTCTGTCCACTTCCTACTGGATGGGGCTCTCAGCCACACACACACACTCTACTGCAGCTTACACATGCTCTCTGAACAGCAACCAGCCCTAAAACCTACTCAGCTCCTTTCCACAAGTCTCTGAGTGCTTTGCAGAGGAGACTGGCATCCCTACCCAACATGGGGAAACTGAGGCAGGGAGAGAAGCCCATAGTCAGACAGGTACGGATTGTGGGGGGCGTTTCCTTCCTCTGTAGGAGGTCATGGCCCTTTAGCTGTGCATCTATTATCAACCTTTAACAAAAGCAGAACGTTGGCTGCCATGGGCCCCCTGCTTTCCCTGCTATGTGAGGGTTGACAGTCATTGTACTAAGAGGTGATATTATAGATGTGTCTGGGACGGGCTGGACAGGACTGATCTTGCCTCAGGCCGTGGCTTGGATAAGATGACCTCTGGAGGCCCCTTCCAGCCCCACTTCTCTGAGATTTCTGTGAAGGTCCCAAATGATACCGAGAGCAGAACTGGAAACCGAACCCAGATCTTGGTCTGGGGTGTCCAGTATTTTATGTCGTCTCCTTGCAGTCTTCAGTGAAAGCCCCATTAGACATTACTGCATGGCAGACACAGAAGGGGTTTGCATTGGAGCCACTCATGCTATACGCTTTTGATGAAGCTGCTCCTTACCCGCAGGGCAGAGGCGGTCTTAAAGAGAGACCAGCATTGCCCCCTTCCTTCCCCAATCCCTTCTACAGGACAAGACCAGAGCTGTCCCTTACCACAGTGCATCCGTTGTAGAGGTTATGCTGATCTTTGTGAGCGTGAGCACAGAAGTCCATGCATGCTGTCACCCCGGAGAAGGGCCGTCCTTCTTTCAGGCCAAGCCGACAGTCTATTGCTATATCCTCGTTGGTGACCTGAGGGGATGAACACAGCTGCCATGACATGGGTGCTTACAGGGCTCCATCTGTAACCAGCGTACCAGTTATTCAGCAAGCCTCCTAACCGAAAGGGCTGGGACAGCACTTCAGACACCCCAGATGCCTGACAGGGCCCCCGGAGGGTTACCTGCCCCATCTAGCAGTCCCCAAAATCCACTCAGAGGCCTACGTGGGCTCCTATTCACCCCTGCTCGAGTCCCTGCAACCATATAAACACCACCCCCCTTGCGCATCACCTGAGCCTCAAGACCAAGTCACAAGAAGCTGGAAGGAGGAGGACCTAGTAACTGTTTTCCAGGCTCTCAGATGGGGTGGGACAGGGCATCACTTAGCCCCCTAAGAAGCATATCAGGCTCTTTGTGGGCCCAGCCTTGAATGCAGCCACTGCTCTTCTAGAGTCTCCTAGCAGCTGTTAACTTATGCATGCTCTCAAGCCAGAGAGGTGTAAAAAAGCACAAATACAAAGAAGAATCAGAACTTAAGCCTGGGTCTGTTTTGTTACATGGTCTCCTGAGTCAGGGCCTCCCAGGCCCATAGCCATCTGGGAAGACACGGACCGAACAGAGGCTGGATTTCTCTAGGATTACATAGAGACAAGGCCAAAACGCACCCAGAGAACAGTGACTGTGCTGTTGCAGTATCCTGGCAGCCAAATCCTGGCCTGGTTTCCATCTGGCTCTGAGTATCCTGCGCTCTGGCTGTGGTTACAAAGCCCAGCCTGGGTCACAACTGGCTCTTGACTCTAGGCACTCAGCTACTGGCAGGACTGGACCCTTGTTCCATGCTTCCACTGGCTTCCCCAGTTTGGAAGCCTTAGGACAGACTAGGCTGTGGTATCTGGTAGAGGTTGTGTAGGGGGGGGAGCCTACAGGGCCAGGGGTGGGGGACACTTCCCTGCCTCCCGGCCATGCTGGGGAAGAAAGGGGAGTCATCTCAAGAATGAGCCCAGCCCCATAGCCATGTCAGACACCCAAGCATAGCAAGAAAAGATGGTACAGATGGAGCCTGTACTGACACCCAGCTTGCCAGCATGTTAGAGAATCATTTGGGGGCACAAAACTGCCTGAGGGCTACATTAGCCTGCCTGCCTCCAATGAGGCACGGAAGAAGGGCGCACAGCCCTACCCCTCCATTTCTGCTCTCAGAAGGGCTTCAAAGAACATTATCCCCAAGTTCATTATCACTTCTCCCTGCTTCAAACCATCTTCTGGGGGCTTTGTGCCTCTTGCCGGAACAATATTGGTGCTGCCAGCTGGGACTGGGACTGAATCTCTTGCTGCAAACAGATAAGAAGTCAGAGCCTGCTGGGTGAGCAGGGCTGACAGCAGAGCAGAGGAGAAAAGTGGTTCTCTTGGGTACCTGATTCTGGTAGGCCTGTGGCGCCAGCCTCCGGTAAAGTGGGGCAACTTCCGTGGCCAGGTCCTGAAAGCTCTTCCGAAGCAGCTCTTCCTGGAAAGGAGAACAGTAACAGAGAGTGGGTATCCTCCAGCGTCCCATGCCCATCGGGACCCCGGGAGGGCAGAGACTTTCTGCCTCGGAAAGAGCACACAGGTCATTTCACACATGGCACAAGCCAGAGCCTTTCACACCAGGATTTCTGGGATTGAGCTCACACACATCTATCGGTTTGGAAAGGAGCAGTTCTGCTTCAGGCCAGGGGCTGGACTAGATGACCTCTGGAGATCCCTTCCAGCCCCACTGCTCTATAACTCTATTACGCAGTGTCCCAAGGTCGAGTCAAAGGCTCCAAGAAATGGCGCCTCTCGTGAAGCAGGCCTCAGGGTTTCATCATGTCTGAGCATCTGTAGACACATACAAAAGGCTGCTGCTACCTGCTTCCAGCTGTTCTGCCTCTTATATCAGCTCCCTTCTCCACACTCCGTGGCCTCATCTCAGCTAACCCAGAGGCGTACAGGTGACAGTGGAGAACCAGGCCGCACAATCGCACCCTCCTGGCTCCAGCTAAGCCAACCAGAGTTCTACTGTCCTCGCTGCGGCCAAGGTTTCCTCTAGCGCACTGAACAGGAAGGTCATGCCAGGAGTGCGGTAGAGAATTCTAGTAGGACTACTTTTCATGTCCTTCCATCTGCACAACTGGGATCCTTCTGCCCCACACTCCACGGACCCGCCACACCCAGCCAAGGCACGAACCTCTTTGGGATTGTCCCCCACCAGACGGAACTTCCTGGGAGTTTTGCTTCGAGCATATTTGCATCCGTTGAAATACATGCTCCAGGAGCAGCCAAAGGAGAAAGAAGCACCACAGGTATTGGGGTCCTTGCCTTGACAAGCGCAGGTTCGACTGCAACAGAAACCCAAGGGCAGGCCCTCTCACTCACTGGCTATGGGGCCAGCTTCCTCGCAGACCACATGGCGCCCGTGGACCTGGCAACCAGCCTTCCCCATTCAAGAGGTGGAGCTAGGCTGGGCTGGGCTGGGCTGGGCAGGGCAGGGCAGGGCAGGGGGAGGGAGGGAGGTACTGAGGAGCTGGAACAGACCAAGACCCAAGAGCATTCCACCAGTTTGGCTCTACAGAGGGGGATCGCACCGGCCTTTCCTCCCAGACATCTACCATTCCTGGGATTCAAACCTTCCATCTGTACCTCTGCAAGCACCACCCAACTACCATGCAGGGCACAGGATCTCTCAGCCTTTCCACAGCCCCCATCTTCCCTTATAAAAGGGCTCCTGTCAGCACAAAGTGCCACCAGTTGCAGCAAGGGCCTTGGTTTGATTTCCTGGCCCTGAAGATGGTTTCTCATGGGACAGCCGTCTCTGATTACCTCCCCAAAAAACACCCCCCTTGAAGCTGCTTTGCATGACATAAAAGGGCAGCTTCTGCAGCTGATGCAAACTGACACTTACTCGTCATTCAGGCCGCAGCGGCGGGTTGTGGGGTTCCCATACTTGGTGAGTGTGTCAGTGAGCTCCTGGTACAGCGTGTCACCCAGGGTGCGGGGGATGCCTTCCCAGGCCAGGATGAGGATGATGATGACAGCATTCTGGCAGTGGTGACCAGCCCGGTGCCGGACCAAGCACAGCAGCTTCTCCTCTTGGTTGTGCCTCCTGATCACCTGGAAAACAGCAGGCCAATTCAGTCACACTGGGAAGTCCCATTTGCAGCAGATGCCTGGAAACAAGCAGGCCATGGACACATGCTTCCCTCCCTGCTTTTGCTGGTTGTGGCCATGAGAAGCTCTCAGCCCTTATCATGGTCACCAGCTCCCTTCAGCAGTGACCTGCTGTCACAGTATCTGCCTTACGGTCCCCTTTGAGTCACCACCGGGATTAGGTCCTGGCCGACAGTTTGCAGTCCAGACAGACAGGACTCAGGGGAATGGAGGCAACACAGCAGGCCAGTGACAGCTGGGAACAGACCTTTGGGAGCCTGCCCTGCAGCCCCTACACCACAGCACCTTCCTGTGCTCTCAACAAGTCTCTCCACAGTAAATCAGCAGGCTCTAGGACTGACTGGGTCATGGAGATTAACTTCCCCACCTCCATGCCTGTATCAGTCCCCTCCATGCACTGGAAGCACATCATACATCCTATGCTGTCCCCACTCTGCTGGTGATCGGTCTGTTGAGCACCCTTCCCCCCGATGGAGGCAGGGAGGTTCTCCCTAGTCCCAAAGAGCACAAGCTCAATTGCTCTTCTCCTCAATCCTATGAATGCTTTAAAATGATCCCCCTGATAAGACCACAACAAAGACTTGGAGGCCCAGCCCAAGACATGTCAGTGAGGTCCACGTGCTCGACCACTTCTGCAAGTCAGGCGCCACTCCAGACTCTCGGGGTGGGTGCCCCCCAACCAGCCCTTCTTTGCCACGTGGCCCCAACTGACCTTCATCTCTCTTTCATCTCCAAGACACTTTGTGGGCCCAGGCTCTGAGGTCCTCCATGTCCTTCAAATTCCTACCAGGGTTTTGCCAGAGTAAGAGCTGACTAAAGACTTTTGGGCCTGGCTCCATACACAAGAGGAAAGTGCACCCTTCCTCCATGTCAACCAATGGGAGACCAAGCCCTGGACTCCCTCGCTTGGGCAAATCCCTCAGCTGACTTCCTTGAGAGCAACCAAGATGGTAACACCCAGCCTGAAGGCTGGGGAGAGATGCGCCTTACCAGCTATTTGACAGATCGCTCTGTGCATGCCTTTTCACAGCAACCAATGAAGTGAGCTCCAGCTGACGAACACTTATATACATCTGGTTTAGTTGGTCTACAAGGTGTATCTCTTCCCAGCCTTCTACCTCACACTGTTCACTAACTACCGCTCTCTATGTCCAGACTGAACCATGGGATATGACCCAGTCTCACTCAGCACAAGGCCCTGTCCTCTTGAGAGGCGGCTGGGCCATGCATGCAAGTCGATGGGCCTGCCTGGAGGTCTGGCTGACTGAGGCTGATGCTCCAGACATGCCAGGTTTGATCTCTGGTAGCAATCGCACACCCCTGGACAAGGCCGTGCAGCTGCTCTAAGGACACTTGGCTGATGTCGCCTGTTGCTGTTGCCCTGGGGCTCAGCTGCACACCTGCCAACAACCTTAGACAGGCCACTGGCCTTTTAACTGCCAAGTTTTGCTCCCAGCCCTGTGGAGATCACTGGCAAAGCTCCTGCCAACCATAGCCACATCAGGGTTTTCTCTGCACATGCCAGACCCTTGCTGTGCAGGGCAGAGACAGCTGCAGAGTCTCCCTGGGCTGAGCGAGAGGGGGAAATTCTGCAGAATTTCCCTGGTGCCGCAGAGGCTCAAAGTGACTGTGCCACCCCCGCTTCCCGCCCCCAGAGCCCAGCCACGGCCTCTCACTTCCTCATCTGCCCGTCCACTCCCGCAAGCGGCTGCTCTCACATCCTGCGGCTTGCGCACTTGCCTCCCTCTCAGCCTCCGGCTGTGGTGGCCTGGGGGATTCCTCTCGCCGGCTGCTTTTCACACCCACCCGTGGTCTCTACCATGCTGCTTTCCTACGTGCTGTCTCCCCCCACAGCCCAGCATCAGCACAGATGTGACAGCCCTGCTTCAAAATCCTGTCTGTAAAGGCAGCCTACTTGGCTGCACTGGTCCCCAACACACACATGCACATGGTCAGAAGCTCTGATCTGGCAGGAATTCACTGATGGGGCATGGAAGAGCTCCCAGCCTTGCTCTGCTTAGCAAGGGGGAACTGATGGAGTCTTGGCAGGCGAACGGCAGGGGAAGGAAAAATGTTTGCTTTTTGGCTGACATCTGCGGGCAGTGGGGTCTCATGTCTAGGCCTTTACCTCTGAACTGTGGAGGGCTCGATCCAAGCCCACCTCTAACACACACACACCTGCTCAAGAGGCATCTGCTCACACACACCATCACTCAAGGGAAGAACCTCCTCATCCCAGAACAGTGGCAGGGGTCAAGGGCCAGACAACCAGGATTTCAGTGCACTCAAGTGGCTTTAATAAAAAGAACCTGCCTGCTTCAACTGAGTCAGCCGCAGTGCAGAGACGGGTGTGTGGGTCCTGACACGGAGAGCTCCCGCAGTACCGCAGTCTAGTGTCACCCACGGACCTTGGGTGACTCGCACACTGAGAGATTCACAGGAGCAGCTGAATCTCTACTCCACCTCCGTGGTGGCACAGTGCCCAACACAGTAGGGCCATCCCTCAGACATACAGCGAGGATGGTTTCCATTGGAGGCAGCTGCGGAGAGCTTGTGCGCTCCATGTGCCGAAGCCTCGCATGGGAAGCCCTTCTCCTGGCCCACCAGCCCCTCTCCAAACCAGCTGCAAAATAGACATTATCCCATCCTGGCCCACAGCACCAGCCTCAGCCCTTATCTTCTCTGCTGCCAGCCCCTCATGTTAGCCCACCACAGCCAGCAGCACTGAGCAACGGTGGAAAGGCTGTGCCGGCCGTTATGCCCCCACCCCAGGGGCCCTACACCGTTTGATCCCTGGCAGGCAAGTGTTATCTCCCACCTGATGCTCCAGAGCCCCCGCTGGCCACAGCCCCTTAATCAGCACACAGCAGGCCTCACAGCAGGCTGAGGCCAGCCCTGCCAATGGTTCTGGGGAGCTCTGCTAGGCCCTTTCAGGAATACACCCTTGCCTCGGCTTTGTCTCTCCCAGTGCAGTATCAGACACAGCCCCAGTGCTGCCTCTTATAAACAGATTGATAAGCAACCCGTTTTGAGGTGACCAGGCCTCCTGGCAGCTACTAGATAGTAGGTGCTCCAGGGAACCCAGAGACACAGGCTTGGCGCTGGAGCTGCCACGAGAAGGCTGAGGAAGACATGGCCAAGCCAGGGGCTGGATCTGAGCTTGCTTACCCCTGGAGCATCTCCAGGAGCTTTCCCTGAGACAGCTCCTGATTTGTCTGTGTGCCCATGAGAGGAGATGGAGGTCTTTTGTCTGAGGACTATGGAGCCAGTTGCTGATCTTAGGATCTCAGGAGCAGCACTGACAGCAGAGACATTCACTGGGGCACCCGAGATCCTGCTCTGGCCCTGTATCATTTCCAGGAACATAGAGCTAAAGCCATCTTTCTTCTTAGTCTGAGGTACTTCCACTCCTTCCTTCTCTGTACCAGGACCCCCTCCCCAGTGCTAGGTGCCCTCTGGCCTGGCTTTGCTCTCCCTGCACTGGACACTGCTCAGACGGGAACACTCTGAGCCGCTGCCAGCTTTACAGCACTTTGGCTCTGGCCATGAACCCTCTGGGAGCAATAGGCCTCATATCAATTTACCACGCACAGGCTAGTTACAAGAAGGGCCTAGTTCTCCTCGCAACTAGGACGCTCTAAGCCAAGGGAACCATAGGGGGCCCCTCTACCTCCAAGCAAGACTGGCCTGCTTGGACTTTGCAAGAGGGAGGAAAACCTAGTATCACAGCTCCTCCCAAGCCCTGTCTGGCCGGCCTGTAAAGCACTCCCCTGAGCACTTCCAATGACCTGATTGGGTGAGCAATCACTCCTGTACAAATGCACCTTGCCCACCAGACATGCAAGAAAACAACCAAGGCCCCTCCTTTTGGCTGGAGCTCCCTAGCTGACCCCTGGCTCCTGCCTGTCCTGATGCCCCTGGAATTGGAGGTGCCCATCAAGGAGCGCAGTGGGGAGCCAAGAAAAGGTTGCATTCCCCATAAAGGGTTCTTTAGGCTTTCAAAGTTGCTGGTGGAAAATGCAACACGACTGATCTGTGGCCAGCAGGGCTGTTCACAGCAGGAAGAGAAAGCAAGAGGATGCTGCTTAGTGCCAAGGAGGCGAGAGAGATGATCATATGCCCAGGTGATGAGTGGGGCATAAACAGCTGGGGAGGTGACAACAAACATCGCTTGGATGTTTTACTGCTATCTATCCTTCCTTTCTTCCTTCCCTTCCTCCCTCCTGTGCATTGGTGAGCCTGTGCTCTAACTTGGAGATGCAGATGGAGGCAGTGTTAAGACAACGGAGGTGCTCGGAGTCACTCTTGCTGTGCGTTATGACATAAAACACAACCCCTTTCCCTTCCCTGGAGCTGGAGGGCCAGCACTTACCCACTTGGCGATAGGGCAGCCCCGTGAACTCTTTCCTTCCTTCCCAGTGTAGATCACCTTCTCGATTCTGATGGCTTTGCCCTTCTCACCGTACCTGGTGGAAAGAGACATCCCCATTAGTGGTGGTGAGAGGCAAGGCCTATGTCATGGAAACATCTGCACTGCTGACTGCCTGGGACAAACACAGTGTAAAAAGCAGCCTGTCCCCAAGAGCTCTGCAAAGAGGGTCAGTATCACCACCCCCCTCTTACAGCTGGGGAAACTGAGGCATGGGGAGGAGCAGGGACATCACACAGGCGGCTAGGGACCAAGCCAGTGGTAGAACTCTGGCCCCAAGCCCCAGCTAGGGCTCAGATCATTTCTTACTATTCACACAGCCATCTTCCCTGTAACTCACCTACAGGCATGAGTCAGGACCCCCCCCAACTTCCTACTACGGTCCAGAAAGGGTGACATTCACCCCTGCAGAGCCAGCTGAGAGTTCAGCAGTGACCTTATGACAGAGACCCAGCTGATACGCTGATCTTTTCACCCGGGCAATAGACATATGTGTCCCTCTCTGCACCTAAGTCCCCCACCCACCCAGTGAAAGCAAGAGTTAGTGAATCTCCCTTGCCCTCCTCCCATGGGAAAGGCCAGGAGAGAGGAAGGAGCCAGGGACACTGGGACTGGCCCATCACTGACTTCGTAGTCACAGCAGTCCCTGGGAGCCCCTAAGGCCTGTGATAGCAGCTGCTCCCATGCCTGCTTCCCCCATCCCCACGTCACTCAGTGTAGAGGCGGCGGCGCTGTCTGGGGTTTTGCTGCATCATCAGAACGGAGCCCGGCAGGGGGGTGGGTGGCTGCAGACCACAGAGCTGAGTCACTGGTACAAATTCAGCCTGGGTGAGTAATGCCTGGGCTTGGCAACAGGTGGGTGCCTGGGCAAAACATGACTGGTGGCTCTAGACAAACCTGGCCTGATCTCAGAGCTGCGGCAAAGGGTGACAAAAGCAGCTGGCTCCAACCCCACATTGACTGAATCCAGGGGGGCCCCAGATGCTGGACAGTCAGGCTCACAGGACTCGAATACAGTGTCCTGGCCCTGCTGAGGCCCAGGGGAAGGACTGGGTGGCTTCACAACTGGTGCGGATCCTGTGGTGGAACAGATCCAGATCCACACCGGTGTGAGAGCAGAGACTCAGACCCAGCAATGTCCATGGGGTCCCTGCCAGTCTGTGTGCCTGCCCTCCTCTGGCACACACACAGCACAGTGCAACCCAGCACCAGCTAATCAGCCTAGAGTAATCCCCCCTCCCCCTGCCTTTAGCTTTCTTGAAAGTGCTAATTAAACGAGAGGCCGCAAAGCCGGCACTATCCATCACTCCGAAGGGAACAGTGTCCGCCCGCCTGCCCGGCCCTGGGCGTTTTGTCAGCAAGAGGCTGGGAGCGCGGGATTCCCATGCCCTGGCTGCTGTTCACGGGTGAGCGCACACACATGGCCATTGTGGCCCTGCCGCTCCGTGCCGGCGGCGTGGGCTGGCGCCTGTCGAGCTGCAGCTGCTCTGAGGGAGGGCAGCAGGGCTGCGCGTGCGGTCTGCGCAGGGGAGAAGGCTTCTCAGCTGATATGGAGCCACTTGGTGATCGCTGACTGCCAGATTCATTGGAAAGCTAAGCCCACGGCTGGTCCCTGCTGCCCACACAGCACACTCTTCCTTGGCCTCGTCTGTTAGGCTGCGATGGTCTAGTCCATTAGCACCTGGCACAGTGGAGCCCCAACCTGCAAAGGCCCACGGCAGCTCCGTAATAAATGGTCACAATTCAGCCACTAGACCTATATCGGCTGTAGCCATCTCCAATGGCTTTGACCGACCTGCTTATAACCAGCCAAGCCCTGACTTCTGTGCGGTGATAATGAAATGCTAGTGCGGGTCCCATCGCTCTGGGATGTGCAGAGCCCCCATGATGCCAGTGGGCAAGCTGACAGCTAAATGATTTGCCCATGACTTGGCTACACAGTCAGCCAGTAGCAGAGCTGGGAGCAGAGCCCAAAGACCTTGTTCTACCAGCAGACAAGTGACACCATCCAGTGCCCTGGTCTACCATGCCACAGGTTCCCCATCCCTGAGAGGCACTGGGCTCTTGCAGCTCACCTGGCCCCCAGCTGCCTTTGCAGTGGCTGGACAGCACTGAAAATCCTAGCCCTGATGCCCAAACCACATCCTGACGGGTGCAATCCCTACAAGGCAACCAGTCAGCTCAATGGCTGCCGACTCCCTCGCCTTCTGCCCTCTCTCTTCTCTGCTGGACAGCCCCAGCTGTTACCTGCCCCAGCACAAGGAGATAGAGCCAAACCAGAAGCATTTCATCTGCCCTGCAGGGTTCTCCCCTCTGTAGCTCCCAGTGCCGGATGTTTCTGATCTGCGCAGGGGGAAGTGGGACCTCCTGGATGACTGAATCTGCCTGGAGAGGCAGCAGGGAGTGCACGTGTTCCACGCCGAGGCTATCAATCAGCTGTCCCACACAGCAGGGGAGCTCGCAGTCCTCAGGACAGACGCATCCCAGGTGACAGGCTTCAAAGAGGGCTGAGGGCCAAAGGGCGACTGGCGGTGGCTTCCTGCTGCCTCACAATTTCCTGCCTCGCCAAATAAAGCCAGGAGACACCAATGCTTCCCCTGCTGGGACAGAGCTGGAGAACCCACTCTCCGCTCCCGGCCTGTGACCAGGGCAAGCCGCAGGCAAAGGACATACAAGCAAAGGACGTACTGGTGGGTTTGCAATTCATAGGCTCTCAGCTTTGCTGGTAGGGAAGCTACAGAAGACGGGGGGGGACTCTAGTCTGGTCTTTCCAACCCCTTGTCCCCCCCAGCAACAGAGGGAGGAACGTGGAACTGACTGAGAGGTGCCACCTCCAGTGGGAACAGAAGTCAGATCAGCACCAAGGCTCATCTGATACCACCTCCAGACATCTGAGTTGCCCTTTGGCACTAAAGTGTCACAATGAGATCCTTCCCCAGACTCCCTGAGGCCCCAAAAACCATGACCTGGGCACCACACTTCCATCAGCACCTGACAGAGAGCCGCAAAAAGCCACAAGCAGGAACCACCTTCTGTGTGCGTGGTTCTACAGGGTGGATTAAGACACAGAGGCTCCTCAGTGAGGGACAGGACCTGACCCTGAAAGCTTCAGAGCAATCCCACCCCGTCTCAGTAGCAATCCACCATTGACAGTGACCTTTGAACTAAACCAGCTTGTCCAATGCAGGGAGTTCCTGCCCTGCCATGCACTGTGCTGTGCCCATGCAGTCAGAGCCATGGCAGCAGGGATGGATGGGGTTGGGGGATTTGTAACAGACAACTGCCTGATGGCATACCCCAACCGAACCAACCAGCAGCTCTGGCCTCTGCAGCTGAAATACTGGTCTCGAGATCAGCCCTATTCAGTAGGCTGACACTTAGACACGCTTCACAAGATCAACTCAGAGCTTCAGGTAGGGGAGCTCAGGGTGTCAAAACCACCCAGCCCTGCTGTGGGCTAGCTGAGGTCTTTGCAACAAAAGAACAGCTCTCGTATTTCTCTGCAGTCGCAAAACAAGTGGAAGCTTAAGAGCTAGCATTTTCCAGGTGGCGCCTTGAGGCTCACGAGAGGGCCTTGACCCTAACAAAGCAGGTCGCGATTCTAAAAAAGGCCAGGAACCACTAAGCTGTAGCCCAGCCCAGCCACAACAGGAAAAGGCAAAGAGCAGCACCATGATACAGGAGCCATCGCAAGGGAGGAAACTTCCTGGGAACAGACCCCCAAGCAAAGGGAAGAGACTGAGCAAGGAGAGAACCAGAGGAGGGGTCTCTCAGTGGTGACAGCTCTCAGGGCGTGCCCAGGTGCAGACATGCAGGGAACTTGGTCTGAATTCCCTTCCACAGCAGATTACTCAGACCGCAAGAAAAGCCCCACGGGGACACGGTCAATCAGGACTGCTTTGAATGAGGTTCCTGCTCTTCCCCCACTGAACAAAGGCCACTCCAAGAGTGTCTCACGGGGTCAAATGTACTCCAGCAGGCCCACCTGCCTTTCATACAACCCACAGGTTGCAGAAGCACCCTATCCTCCACCACAAGTAAATTCAGATTCTCTCTCCCGTGCATGCCTGCCTTGGACTGCAGGGCCTAACAGCGCCTAGACCCCAATCCTCGTTGCCCCCGGGAGCAACCTTGGACTCCAGGCCTCCACCTAGGTCACTGAGACCAGGATCTGGCCGTCCGTGAGCTCACCCATTCCCCTAGGGTGTCCTGTTACTTGGGAGCTAACAGCCCGGACCAGGCCAAGCTCTTGGGAATTGCCCTTCAGGCTGAAACAGCACCAGCAGTTGAGTGGGACCGGTGAACCAACTCCAGGGACTCACCAGCAATGGTGAGGAACAGTCAGTGCACAAGGGTCTGCCTTGGCCTTGGCTGGCTATTTTGGATGGTGGCTGCAGTGCTGACTGTGGATGGCAATTGATCCGTCTCATGCAAGCTTCATTTCCAGCCCATGTGGAGCGGCCGTGCTTGGCTGGCAGGCACCAGGGCAGCACGCGAATGCCCTCATCTTCTCCAGCCCCGGGGGCCAAGGGGCATGCTCCAGCCCAACCTGGCTGGTTGCAGCCAGCCACACTGACCAGGTCACTGCCACCCAGTTGCAACTCCCCACCTTTGCTCTGCCTCTGCCCAAGGCAGGGGCCTGGCAAGGGCATCCCCAGGACACCCCGTGCCTAGACAAGGCTGGCAGGACTTTTTAAGGGCTCCTTGACTATAATCTTCCAGCAGGGCAAGGCTGTCCCTTGCACACCTGGCTGCCTTAAAGGGACCTCCTGCTGCAGACACAGAAGCTGCGGAAATGCGGTGCCTGGGGGCAGGCGGTAGGAGGCCCACCTGACACAAAAGAACAGCCCTTCTGTGTCTGGGACATGGGGGGAAGCTTTCCCCCAGATGCTTCCATCACACCGACCCCATGGGCAACATCGGGGGGGGCCGAAAGAGACCCCAAATGCTGGCACATAAGCTGCAGCAGAACCACCAGGGGGAGCTGAAAGCCCCTATAATCTCCTCTCTGCCCCAGCATGCTCAGATCCATGGCAGGCGATGGGCAGGGGTAGGGCACACTCTTACAGGGCTCCCCTCCTCCGCAGGGCACCAGGGCTGAATCCCACACTTACCGCTCCTCCATGAGCTGCCTAATGGATGCCACGGTGGGTCCTGACCCCAGGTGGGTGTAGTAGGGTCCTTCATCCTTCTCTACGATTTGTTCTGTCAAAGGGAGAGAAAAGAGGGAAGGGAGATTGATGGGCTTGTTCCGATGCACCCAGTGCAGGGAGCTCTGGGCAGTCTGGGTCTTGGGGCCAGTGAGGCAATCTCTGCACAGCCAGAGCTGCTGTCATGCAATCCTGTCCCAGAACTGGGCCATATCCTGCCACCCTTACCCACTACCACAGGCTCTGTTTCCCCACGGGCTTCGAGGGGACTCCTTGCTGGGCAGAAATAATGGCAGCAGCCCTGAGTGAACAGGCCGCCTCCCTACCCCGAACCATCTCACTGCCCACTCAGTGGCAGTAGCCTGGCTCTGAAGCGCCTGATAGAATAATTGACACCTGGAATTTCTCTGGAGAGAGCCAAACATTTGGTATGTGTTACAGCTCCCAGTTCCCCCATGGTGACACCCTCATTTCTTGGCACGGGACAGAGAGTGCCAGCAGGGAGGGTGGCATGTGTGTGTTTGTGTGTGCTCACACCCGGGGAGAAGGGAAGAGACAGCTCCTTTAGCAAATCATTCCAGTATCTCCTCTCTGCAACACACCCAAAATGGCATTTCAGTGCTGCTTCTGCTCACTGTAGGTTATTTGATTTCTTGCTTTACATTAGGGAACCTAATATCTACTGTAAATTCAAGGGCTCCTGGAGGATGAATTAACTGGTATTCTGGACCTATGACCGATGGCTGGGATATCACAGTCACCAATTTTACATAAGTATGAGGAAGAAAATAAGTAAAAAAAAATGTATTAGAGAGCACAGAAGATTGGGAGAGAGAGAGAAATATGTAGATTAAGGAAGACAAAGGATGAGAGATTATGCTCAATGCATGTTAAAACTATTCAAGCCCATTACAATCTGACTTATTTCCCTGATCCTTTCCAGCTGCTGGTACTTGGGAGTCCATGTTATAAGCAAAGATATACGACAGTAAGGGTTTCTGCTGCATAAGCTTTTGCAGGGCAAAAGCAAAAGTCAAATCTGCATGTGATCTATAGAGGGCACATGACTGAGCAGCCTCAGCTCCCTTGCTGCTGCTGCTACATAATTACTTGCTACCAGGAAAGATCATTTCTTCATGCTGCCTTTCAGCGACAAGGGGCATATCTTATTCCAGGGCATGTTGTATGTGGGGAAATATGGTACATCATAGCCACTTCAACACCAAATGGCCTGGCAAGAGGAGAAGGCTCAAGCCAACTCTAGGGATCGCTCCCAAGCCAAGCATGCTGCCGGGCACCCTGCTGGATCCATCCATCAGCCTCCCCTAATTCCTTCTCCCTGCTGCCTTCAGCCAAGTGCCTAGATCTGCAGGGAGAGTCCAAGCACTGGGATCGTTCAGGTCAGGAGACACCGTCTGTGGCTCCGTTTCCCGCTCCAAGTTCTATTTCCTACTTCCGAAAGAGAGGCTGCAAATTGCTTCCTTTTCCGGAGCGCAACGAGCAGCCGAGCACAGGCAGCGTAGGGCTCAGCTGAAAAGACAGGGCAGCCAACCCAAAGCGGTGCGACACTTGGCACCCCAATGAGCTGGCTGGCATGGGCGCCAACGGGAGCATTGTCCTGGGCCATCCAAACGAATCGGGGCGCAGCTTTGGGAAGCCTCTTTTTCGCTTCGCTGCAAACAAATGCTGCTCTGTTGGAAGGTTTCCATGCGAGCAGGTTTCAGCTCTGCCCCCCTCCCCGCAATGCCTTCTATGAGAAAAGGAGTGGGGGCAGCTGGATCCCACAAGGAGGACCATGCCCCTTCCTGAGGGACTAGGGGGAGCCATGTAAAAATTTGCATGGGATTACCACACTGACCTCCGCGCTCTCCACCTGCCTAACTCAGAGCAAATGTTCCCAACCAGGGACAGTTGGCCTAGACACATCCTTCAGAACTCCCACAGATTTGCAAAGCATGAACACATTTTGGCGTTGATTTCCAGCCCCCGTCTCAGCCAATCTTTCTATATTTTCCTTTCTTCCCAACTTGGCCACGGTCCCCGTCTTACTAATTTCCGCTGCCTCTCGGAAAGGAAGATGAACCCAAGTTCTTGGGTTTCAGGAGCTTGCGGCCAAATGCAGCGCTCTCTTGGCTCCCGGCATCACTCGGATGTTAGGTTTCTGTTTGTTTTGGAGCAATCTTGAAGGCTGAGATTCTTGGATGCCGAGCACTTCATTTCTTGGTCATCCAACATGAGTCGCCTTCCAGGGCCCAGATTCTCTGGGAAAGGGGGAGCGGCACTGTCTGAATGTCTCCTCCCCTTCTGGGCCTTTAGAACTGGGCACCTGCAAATGGGGCCATGAAAAGCCCCTAGTCTAGTTTTAAAATTGTATCCCTGCCACTTCTTGTACAGATATGAACCCCAACATCGTTTCTTTGCCCACATGGTTCCCTTCTGCCCTATGCATGAAATCTGGCTACTTCAAGGTTGCAACTCTTTAGAAGTAAATGTGTTTTTAAAAAAAAAATCACTGTCCTCATCCAGAGCACTGTGACACTTGGAAGTTCCTACGTGAGCACAGCGCCGTACAAGCTCATACGGTCTAAGCAGATGGACAGTTCACTGCACCTCGACTTCCTCAGGCTGTGCTCTAAGCCTAGCTCTCGGCAAAAGAAGAGTAAGCCACCCCAGCGTTTCTTTCACTTACTGTGGGATAAGAGCGAGCGCATGAGCTGTTACTGTAGGGCAGCTGAGGCATGGTCAAGTGCTTTCCCTTATAACTTGAATGAGTGTTTTGCTCCAAAATTCGATCCCCTGGCCTTGAAACAATCCCCGGAGAGCCCCCAACCAGGACTCACCTCCCACCACAGAGGCCAAGAACAAGCACAAAGGAGCACCGGAAGGAGACCCCGGTGTCAGCTGCTGTTTACAGATATCCCATAAAGTGGAAGGACCTGGGTGGTTTGAACACAAGTAGGGCAGCTTAGTTCGATAACCCATTCCAGCTAAGAGGTGCTGAAGGTGGAAGGATCTGGCCCTACGGCCTCCCAGCACTTCACCCCCTTCAATACTACTCAGTTATTCTAGGCATGAGCCTTCGCAGACGGCAGTCAGGGGAGAGCCAGGGACTTTGTCCTTCTGCTGCCAAGGCCACCTTGGTGGCTTATCTGCCGTGCTGCCCTCTCCCTTTTGGAACAAACAGCAACTGGGCTGCGACAAGGGCCAGGATCCCGGCTGGCTCTTTTCCTTCACAAGCTGCTGCTAATGTAATTTGCTCTTTTGGTTGCTCCATTGAGTGTAAACGCAGCTGCCCGGCTTTCTTTTCTTTGAAGCCTGCCTGTCCTGGCTCTGGCTCCAACCATGCTCAGAGGCAGCACTGGACTATTGATGGGATAAAGAGCCAATACGGAGATCATTAAAAAGACATAGCGAATGCTTGCCCATAGCAGAGCCTGGATCGTGGGTGACAGGCTGCAGTCTGATGCTTGCAGAACAGGAATCAGTACCCAGATGATGCTGTGCATCCGTGGGGCATCACATGGAACTGAGCCACAGGCACAGAGCTTGTCCATTGCCCCAAGTCTTGTGTTGGAGACCTGAGGCCCCAAACTGCTAGGGGCTGGGTGTGTCACTACCCTCCTTCTTGCAGACAGACTGATCCCAGAGCAGTCCAGCCTGCATCATGAGGAAGACTGGCATGTGAAAAAGGTGGGTTACGTGGGACCGTTTCAAGTCACTATGTTAAGAAGCTGGGCCAGTGGTACAGGTGATGACCCTGTCCTCAAACAATGGTCACAGGTTGTGATTCAGAGCTTCCCTGCTCCCTATTTGATTCCAAGAGACCAATACCATGGGGAAAGGGGCAGGAACACAGAAACGTGAATCCAAACCGTACAGCTCCTCCCCACAAAGGCGTAGGCGTGGGAGTCTAGACGTGGTCTCAGCTATGAGGACGATTTCTGCAGGGCCCGAGACCTCGCTGCCCAGCAATGTGGATAGCCGCGTACTCTCTGCTGGATGTGGCTGCGGCCAGCAATGCGGTCTGGTTGGTAATATCCCAATACACCGGTGTATGGTTCATAGGCACTTGCTTTGGCTTCTCTTGTGCTTCTCTGGTTAAAGCCTAAGTCCCCAGTCACCCAGGGCGTAACGCTTGTGAAAATGGCTATGGGGTAAAGGACAGGCCTTGGCAAGGGACCATGGAGGACCCTCTCGCCTGGGGGAGGTCACCATTGGGGTTCTGCTCTCATCCTCTTCAACAGTGACATCTCTTTGTGTCACGCCTCCAAGCGACCTCTCCGCCAGGACAGAGCAGCTCTTCAGAGTGATCCCTGGAGCTGGAGGCCCATTTGGCTCCACTGTTCAGCCTGCCAGGACATAGGAGCCAGTGCAGAGCCGGGGGTAAGAAAAGGGCATGCCCCCGGTGCAGGGAGAGTGAGGTGAAAAACATGGGCTTGGAGGGAGATGCATTGCATTTTGTTACCAGGCAGCACAGGGTGGCCAGCAGTGTCTTCATCCCATGACACAATCTAAGGCCACTGCACGGGGGTGACAGGGAGTCCACCCACCAGTGCTACTGGGAGGCAGGGAGGAGAGCTGGGGCTGCATGCCAGGTGCTGCCCTGAACAAGGAGAGGCAGGAACCGTGGCCCTGCACCACTGTGTCCCAGCCGGCTGAGCTGCACAGGATCGACGGGGGACTGTCGGGGGCGTAGAGAAGACAGCGTGTCTCTTGCACCGGGCACCTCCAGGAAACGCCTGTTCCAGCCCCAAAAGGAATCCATCCTCTGAGACGCTGCTGGCTGCCAACTGGGACCAGGGCTCTAGCACTTCACAACCACAGAGCCCACCCCATGGACTCACTCCTGGGCTGCAGGGATTAGTCCCCACAAGGGAAACGGAGCGGGCAAGAGACTGGTCCAAAGCCTCAGAGGAAGTCTCTGTCAGAGAGCTCAGAGCACCAGGCCACTGGGCTAAGTGATATCTGCTTACTCCCTCCACTGAGTGGGTCATGTCACTAACTAGAGTCTATAACTTTATAATGATGGATTGTGGTGTCACCCCAGAACCGGAT